TACTAAAGGTTAGAGTAGAAATAAATAAGAGCATAGAAAAACAATAGAGATAATCAACAAAACCAAATGTTACTCTTTGAAAAAGATCAATAAAATTGACAAATCAACAGCTAGATTGAAAAGTATAAAAAAAGAGAAGATGGCTGGGCACGGTGGCTCACGCCTGTAATCTCAGCACTTTGGGAGGCCAAGGCAGGCAGATCACTTGCAGCCAGGAGTTCAAGACCAGCCAGACTAACATGGTCAAACCCTGTCTCTACTAAAAATACAAAAACTAGTTGGGTGTGGTGGCGAGTGCCTGTAATCCCAGCTACTCAGGAAGCTGAGGCACAAAATCGCTTGAACCCAGGAGGCGAGGCAGAAGATGCAGTGAGCTGAGATCACGCTACTGCACATCAGCCTGAGTGAAAGGGACTCCATCTCAGAAAAAAAAAAAAGAGAGAGAGAGAGACGATATACATAATTAAAATCAGAAATAAAAGTGGGGAAATTACTACCAACTTTACAGAAACAAAAAGGGTTATAAGATTATACTATGAACAATCATACGTAAAATTTAGATAATCTAGATAACTAAACGGACAAAGTCCTAGGAATATCAATTACCAAAATGGATTCAGGAAGAAAAAGAGAATCTAAATAAATAGGTCTATAACAAGCAAAGAGTTTGATAATCAAAACTTCCCAACAAAGAAAAGTCCAGTACTACATGGCTTCATTGGTGAATTCTACCACTTGTTTAACGAATTAACACCAATCCTTCTCAAACTCTTCCAAAAAAAAGAAAGAAAATAGAAGAGGCCAGCATTATTCTGATTTCAAAGCCAAAGACACCACAAGAAAACAGACCAATATCTCTTAGGAATACAGATGCAAAAATCCTCAACAAAGTGCTAGCAAACTGAAATGAACAGCGTATTAAGAGGATTATACACCATGATCAAATGGGACTTATCCCATGAATGCAATGTTGATTCAATAAGAAAATCAAACAACATGATATATCATTAATAGAATGAAAAAAGTAAAGCATATGATCAGTTCAATCGATGCAGAAAAAGCATCTGACAAAATTCAAGGCTAAGTGTGGTGGCTCATGCCTATAATCCCAACACTGGGAAAACAAGATGGGAGGACTTCTTGGGCCCAAAGGTTTGAGACCAGCCTGGGCCACATAGTGAGACCTCATCTCTACAAAAAATACAAAAATTAGCCAGGCGTGATGGCACACACCTGTAGTCCCAGCTACTCAAAAGGCTGAGGCAGGAGGATCGCCTGAGGGCAGGAGGTCAAGGCTGCAGTAAGCCATGGTCACCCCACTGTACTCCAGCCTGGGTGACAGAGCAAGGCCCTATCTCCAAAATTAATTAGACAAAAAAACTCAATACTGATTCATGATCAAAAAAAAAAAAAAAAAACCAAAAACAAAAAAACGGAGCAAACTAGTAATAGAAGGCAACTTCCTTAACACAATAAAAGGTATTTATGAAAAATCCACCTCAATGGTGAATGACTGAAAGCTTTCTCTTCAAGATCACGGTATTAGACAAGTGCTTTTATCACTATCTTTAGACATTGCACTGGAAGTTCTAGCCAGAGGAATTAGGCAAGATAAATAAAAGGGATCAAAGTTGGGAAAAAAAGATCCAAAACTATTTCTATTCTCAGATGACATGATCTTATATATAAAAAATACTAAAGAATTCACACACACACAGTATTTGATATAATAAACTCAGTGAAGTTGCAGGGTACAAGATCAACAAACACATTGATTTTCTTTCTATACACTGCCAATGCACAATATGAAAAGGAAATTAAGAAAAACAATTCTATTAACAATTACATCCAAATGAATGAAATACTTAGGAATAAATTTAACCAAGGAAGTGCAAGGCTTGTACACTGAAAACTATAAAATGTTGCTGAAAGAAATTAAAGACCTAACAAAAGGAAAAGACATTCTGTGTACATGGATGGGAAGACAAGATGGCAATACTCCCCAGTTGACCTAAAAATTCAATATAATCCCTAACAAGGCCAGGTGTGGTGGCTCACACCTGTAATCCCAGCACTTTGGAATGCTGAGGTAGGCAGATCACTTGAGGTCAGGAGTTCGAGATCAGCCTGGTCAACATGGTGAAACCCCATCTCTATTAAAAGTAAAAAAATTAGCTGGGCATGGTGGTGGGTGCCTATAATCCCAGCTACTCAGGAGGCTGAGGCAGAATTGCTTGAACTCAGGAAGCAGAAGTTGCAGTGAGCCATCATGCTACTGCACTCCAGCCTGGGCAACAGTGAGACTGTTTCAAAAAAAAAATATGTGTGTGTGCGTGTGCACACGCACACACACACACACAGGAGACTGTTTCAAAAAACTATGTGTGCTCACACATGCGCGCGCACACACACACACACACACATATATATATATATCCCCTATCAAAAATTCCAACTTCCTTTTTTACACAAATGGATACTAAAATTCTTACAGAAATGAAGGGGACAGCCATGTCATCTTGAAATACAACCTAGTTGGAGAACTTAAACTTCCTAATTTCCAAACTTACTACAAACCTTACAGTAATCAAAACAATGTGTTACTGGCATAAGGATAAACATATAGACCAATGGAATTAAATGGAGTCCAGAAGCAAACCCTTCATGTATGGTCAATCAGTGTTTGACAAGAATCAAAGACCAAGACCATTCAATAGGAAAAGGACAATCTCTTCAACAAACAATGCTAGAAAAACTGGATATCCATATGCAAAAGAATAAAGTTGGACCTGTTCCTTATACTGTATACAAATACTAACTCGAAATCATAGTTTCTCAATAAATTAAGCAGAGATTATCATAATATTCAGCAATTCTATTCCTGGATATATGGGTAGACACTCAAAAGCACAGAAGACAGGTGTTCAAACAAAAACTTACATATGAGTTTCATAAGTAATGCCAAATATTCACTGTGGCATTATTTACAAAAGCCAAAATACTCAGCATTGTATGTTGAAAGGTACACATAGCCAGAGAAGGGAAAACTGAGGGCTTGCTGGCTTCTCAGCTAGTTAAGGGCTGAAGTAATACCCACTGACTGATGAGTAGATAAGCAAAATGTGGTATATTCATGTGACAGAATATTATTTAGCCATAAAAAGGAATAAAGTACCAATATGTGCTAGAACACTAATGAATCTTGAAAAATGAGTGAAAGAAGCCAGTCACAAAAAGCTACATATGATTCCATCTACAGGAAATATTCAGAGTCAGAAAACCCATTAAGACAGAAAGATTAATGGTTGCCAGCAGCAAGGGAGAGGGGAAAATGGGCAGCGACTTGTTACTGGAATGGGATTCCCTTTGGTGATGATGAAAATGTTCTGGAACCAGTCAGTCATGATGGTTGTACAACATTCTGAATGTACTCAATGTCACTAATGATAACTTTCATATTACGTTTATTTGCTCCACAATTTAAAATATGAATGAATATACATTAATTTTTTAAAATTCCCTCAAACAAGTGGGCAGGATCGAGTGCAGCTATCTTTCCTTGTTTAGGGACAAGATCCCTGTCTCCTCCATGAGAAAGAATAAGAAAATAAATTCAAATTTTCTAATGTATTGATGACTCCCAATTTTAATGGTGAAGTACAAAGCAAGGTTCTATTGTCAGTTCAGGGTCTGCACCCACCAGTCAGACAATCTTCTTCCCTGGAATCCCTTTTGCCTCTAAAATAATGAGGCTTCCAAAATGTGGATTTTTAAAAAATTCAAATAGTTGCAAATCAGAGAATCCAACTGGGTAAGCCTCGCCATTTATTAAACATACCACTTGGGCTTCCTCATCCTGAAGCTGTCTAGTTATAAGACTGGAAAATGTGAATGATCCAGGCCCTCCAACTTTTCTGGTCATAGTAAAAGTCACATTGTGTTGACGTAGCTCTGTCACCCACCTAGGATCTACCCTCTAAAAAAGGAAATCAATTAGAAGGAAACCCTGGGCCTAAGGGAACTCAAATCCCCCTCCTGTTGTTCTTCCTAGATTAGGTGTGTTAACAGTCAGCAACTTCCATCACATGAAATGAGAACATTGTTCTTCTTCACCTTGCCTTGCAAACACATAACTGAATTTCCATTTTCTAAATCTGAATTGAATATTTTCCTCATTTCAGCCACACTAGGCTGGAGTTTGTCTGCTGCAGTCAGCCTGAAAATGATGAGTTGGTCTCTACAATCTCAGGAGACAAGCCCAAATCCTTCCTAGAACATCTCTCATTTGTAATGCTAACAAGAGCTTACAACTACAACTGCCCAGAAGGGAGGCTTCCAGAGAAGCCAGAAGGATGGAGGCTGCTCCACCTCTGAATGCCCACATGACCTCTGTCTGGAAGAACAGAGGTCTAGGGTGTTCTAGGCTTAGAGATGAGGGAAAGGAGACTTACTGGGCTAGAGAACAGGACCAGGAATAAATTTGATCCAAGTCAGTCACAAACCTAACTGCCCAAGTCTGAACTCTGGATAACTTGAGAGGTCCCATGAACGCTGAAATTGTCCTTAACAGAATGCTTGCTTGTAGCTAATATCCATTTTCATCCAGCCCCAGGTTTGCATACTGCTTCAGACCATGCAACTAAGGGAACTGAGGGTCTTAATAGTCCTTGACTTCTTGTTGCATCCTTTGAAACCTTTTGAGCTCACTTCCCTAAACCACATCCTCTCCTAAGGTGAAACAGACAAAACAAAGGCTTCCAAAGAATCCCTTATACTCAAAATTTGGATAATTCCAGAGTTCTCAGGGCCCCCTGAGTAACACTTTGCCCTTAAAAGAAAATAATGCTAGCACCTGGGTGTCTTGGCTGCTCAGCTCTGTATGTTGAAAGGTACACATAGCCAGAGAGGGGAAAACTGAGGGCTTGATGGCTTCTCAGCTAGCTAAGGGCTGAAGTCACAGGGCTTGGCCTCAGCTGCAGCACAGGAAAAATGGAGGATATTTACACTTCAGAAGTTTATTAGCAAATGGTTTTGGGCCAGTTGGTGTTTACATGCTTGATCCCTGCAGCCTTGATGTACTAGCTGCAAGGGCTGGGATAGAACCTCACTGTCTGCTGGTCACTGGTGATGCTACCCTACGAAGATGATGGGCCTCTTGGATCCAAGGTACCAGGGCTCTGAGCCCACGCTATCAGGCAGATTCCACTTTTGTTTCCAGTGCCTGGGCTGGGGAGATGAGAGTTTTGAGGATCTCAGTGTAGTAGGGACCAAACACCTCCTGATTGTGGTGTGTCAAGTTGATAAACTTTTGGCCCAGTTCTGCCAGTTCTGCTTCAATGAGAGTAAGGCCTCCAGGGAGTTCTAACAGAGACCGCTGCACACCAAGAACCAAACAGCATTTGAGAAACAAATGGATCCGCTGATCTGTGAGCAAGAAAAGACAGTGAGAAGGGAAAAAGCAAACAGATTTCAGAAAGAAACATTTCCCCTGGACTCTACTCACCCAGGTTCTAAGTTAACAGATATGCACCAACCTGCCCACTTACCTATAGATAAGGAAATTTGTTGTGTTTGGAAAGGGGGTTGCCATCTTGCTCTCAAGGAAAATATCAAAAACTAGTGTGTCAGTAAATTTCAGACTATTCAAAAGCTTGTTTAAGTATCCATCAGTTAGATCCTAGTGAGTGTCTGACGTAACAGGAGGATCTTAGACTGATCCTTCAGATGGCTAAGGTAGGAGGAAGCTAGCCAAGTTTATGGCCTCCACTCCTGGGGAGTCCCTACTACAGGAACATGTCTTCCAGCCAAATTCAGCATTAGTTTCTTGTTGGGAGATGTGGGAGATGTCAGATTTCTTGGTGCAGCCAGAGAATGACCTATAGGCCCAAATGACTTAACCAGGTCAGTTGGATTCCACATCTAGAAGTCATGAATTTCTGGGTGTAGATCATCTTTAGAACCACAGTCAGTCTTTAAACTGATTTGGATATGACTTCAACCTAGCATTTTGAAAAAACTCAAGGCTAAACAATGACATACTCAATGGCCATGCTTCCTGTTGCTAAAGGTTGGGTTCTATGGTCAGGATCTATCTCTCCTGTCACCATTCTCACTACCCCACAAGCATATTCACCAATGACACTGCGGACACAGTTCTCCTTCCTGGCAATGTTCTGTAGCTGTCCCATCAGAGATGTTGCATTGTCACTGCTTAGAGCAGCAAGGCCCATATTCTTGAGGCTTTGATGGATTTCCTTAGACACCTGTTCGCTCACAGACAGTATAGCTTCCTCAGGCCTAGAACATGAAAGAAAGTAAGCTGGCACCTACCCGGTAACCCTGGCATAGGCCCAGAGCCCAGCATGCTCTATACCAGATGCCAGGCCCACTCGAGGGAGAATGTCAGCCATCCTCTCCATCCCCAAACCCCAGCCCCTGGCAGGCTGCAGGGCCCAGTGGGAAGGTACAATGTCCTCACTGTAACCCTCAAGACACCAGCTATTCTCTATGTGTGGTACCATGTTCTACTTCTTAGCAAACAAAGCAAACTATAAAATCAACTCTGGAAAAGTGCTTAGTTGTATTCTTGGATCCACTCATCATTCCTTAGTCCCATGGACTTTGTTTTTACATATACATGTTTAAGACTTTATTGGGCATTTTCCAGGATCATCTGTCCTACCTCATCATTTATAACTACAAACCTCGCCTTCTGATTCTTCCTTTTCCTCTGGTGTGATGGCCTGCACACAGTGGGATGTTCAATCAATATTGCTGACCAACTGACCAAGTCCTGGATATATATGGTGATATCAGCCCACTGTCACCACTCAACTAGATAATGTCCCTCTTGCAGCAAACTATCTTCCATGCTACCTTTTTTGGAAGAAAGTTTTTCCTTTGTCACAAGCCTCATGACCACTTATGGAAAGAAACCAACAATCTTTGTAGATGGTTCCAAAGGGCCTTTCTGTGATCTGTGGTAGACAGTAAGCAACCATTTATTACCTGCCTATGTTTTAAATACCACATATCACCTTCTAATCTAAAAAAGAACTATGCAGCTTACCTGGAGTGAAAGTCTTCCAAAAGGGATTTGGTTATGCGTTTTAGTTTATCCACAAACTGGGGTGAGCCAAACAAAACACTGCCAGAAAAACTACTGGCCACCAACAAGACTGAGGCCATGATGGTTAACTGGTGCCACTGGGACTCCAGCTCCTGCAGCCGGGTTCTGTCCATCAGCAGGGTCTGGAACCAGGGAAGAACAGGCTGTCACGGAGGTCCTGATGGAAGCCCTGAATATAAAACAAGGCAATGTCCCCAGACATTCCTACCTCAGGGAACTCTTCATTTTCAGGGTCCCAGAGAAGGAGGTTCAGGAAGCCCTGAGACAGCACCATTGTGGGACTGAGAGGCTCTGGGATTTTGGCTGCCTCGTTAGGAGAGGGGCCAGCCACACTGGAGGAGTCAGAAGTGTCTGGGCAAGTCGGAGGTGACGTGGTGAGATCTGCTGCTGCTTGGGTCAGCCATTTGGTGGTATGATTAAGGAGGCCTATGACAGGGAAGGGAGTGTGTAAGCATCTTTAGCATCTTCATCTATGAGGCTTCAAGACCAAGGTTCTTTTCAAGATATTCAATAAATAAATGCTTTGAGGGTCTTTCTGTCTTAGATAAATGTTCCTTCCCCCTCCTCTCACCTAATAAGAAACTTTCTAGTCCCAGAAAGAGAGTACTCTCTAACATTATAAAAGTCATACCCAAGGTAGTATCTTTCCCATTCCTGGCCTCACATTAGATACATACTAGGCTGCTTATTGAGGAGTTCCTGGAATTTAGCCCGTTCATACTGAATGGAGTGTTCCTGCAGGTGGGGTTGAAGGCTCTGGATAGTGTAGTTCACCATGTCCATTTTCATCAGGCCCAGAACCTGGAAGATCCCTCTGACACAGGAGGAAAGAGAATATTTATATTAAATGGAACCTAGTAAGCTGGAAACGCACCCAAGAAGTCATTAAATCACTGTATTTTAGAGTTAGGAGGGGGCTTAAGAGTAACTTAGTCCTACCTCCTACATTTTCAGAAGATAACATGGCCCAGGACCCAATACCCAGGGTGAGTTAGTGGCAGAATTGGGAACAGCTAAGTCTCTGGACCTTGAAGCTTTCAATCTGGATCTCCTTCACTATGGTCATTCTGTTGTCTCTTAAAAAGGGTAGTCAGTGGAAAGAAATACACCATCATGCTAACAATATTCTTATAGAATTACAGAAGAAAGATTATAAGTGATGCTATTTCTGACTCACTGGGCCAATTTTTTTTTTAACTTTCTGGGTTTTGGTTCCTAGAGCTGTGAAATAGGGATGACCACCTATCACTGTCTCCTCATAGTGTGTGAACTAGAAGAAGAGAAAACCTAGGAAAGGGCTGGGTATGGTGGCTCACGCCTGTAATCCTAGCACTTTGGGAGGCTGGGGCAGGTGAATCACCTGAGGTCAGGAGTTCGAGACCAGCCTGGCCAATATGGTGAAACCCCATCTCTACCAAAAATACAAAAGTTAGCCAGGCGTGGTGGTGAGTGCCTGTAATCCCAGCTACTTGGGAGGCTGAGGCAGGAGAATCACCTGAACCCAGGAGGTAGAGGGTGCGATAAGCCAAAATTTTGCCACTGCTCTCCCCGCCTGGGCAACAAAAGCGAAATTTTGTCTCAACAACAACAACAAAAAAAAAAAAAAAAAGGAAAACTTGGGAAAGGGATATTTCAATTTCTTAGAAGAAAGAAGTATATACTGTAGTGTTTTATGGCATTATAGAGGAAGGCCCAATAAGGTTAACCAAAAGGCCCTATGGGTCTGTCTTTGGAAAAGAAAAGTTAATTGATCAGAGAGGAGAAAAGGATTCTTAGTCAGGTCTTTAGCAGGAAAGAGTTGGTCAAGATAATGGCTATAATCTAGGTCTGGCCCAGCTTTTCCCAGCTCAAGGGCTAAAGCAGATTTTTGGGGGCAGTACCAAGTTTCATACCTCAGTAGCCAAACAGGATCCGTAATGTTTTCTAGTTTCTGCACGGCTTCATCTCGAACTGGTGCACACAGCAAAGCCATCATGTTGAGAACACACTTAGAGAGAGAGGGGACTTTCAGGGTCCCATGTTCTGCTTCCTCCTTGAGCAAGTCCATGTCCAGAGTTTCTTCAATCTTAATTCTTAGGCGGTTCTGGCGTGGTAATAGCAGTGATAGCAAGATCTGCCCAGGAAAGAAAGTCAAAGGAGTTGATCTGTTTAGAGCCCAAAACTTTATCCAATGGGCAACCCCTTTAAAGATATACCAGCCTATGTTTTTTAAGGATCAAGAGGTTGGATCCCTATATTTCCCATGGAATATTATTTGTTCAGAGGCCAATGATAATTCAAGGCTTAAGGGTATCAATTATAGGAACCATATATGATTTTCTAGGTAGAATGAGATAGAGATGAATAAAATCAACGAGTGTGTTAAAAAGACATACAGGGTATGATAAATATAAAATACCCACCATCACATAGTGATGAAGTCTCTTAACTTTAAAATGTAGGCATTTTTTAGATTATTTTACTTCAAAGGGCAAGAATGAAATAGGCATAGGAGCTGTTTCAAGTCACTGAAATAGCCTATTAACCCCAAAAATAAGTTCGTAGTGAAGAGGGACTCTTATTCATCCCTGTGCTTCTGTAACACAAAGGACATGGTGGGGGCCTAGGGGATAGGGTTCAATGAATATTTAATTGAATAGAATATGGTGTTGTCATAGCAAGATCTCAACTGTTTACCTTCATGTTAAACAAATAAAATCAAAGCTGCTCCATACTATCTATTTTAATTGCCAAGCTCTGCCATTTACCAGTTTGGAGCCTCTCAGCTCCAAATCTACCCTTTAGTGCCTACTCTGCAAAAATGGAGCTGGGCCCTGAAATTATTTTTCCTTTGCTAGCTGGCATAATGTCAGATTTTGTCAAAAGAGGGTGTTAAAAAGAAACTGCAAGAGAAAAGGGCCTTCCTTCCTGGCTCTGCTATACTCCTCTCAGCAAGCTCCCGCACTGTGGAAGCTTCTCTTTCTTCAAATTACTGCATGGTTTCTGTCTCTTGACTGGACTCTGACTGATAAAAAGTTGGTACCATGAGTGAAGTTTGAACTCAGATAGTCATATGTCCACTGGATCCGATGACCAGGAAGTATCAACTACTTTAGATGCCTTAGAAACACATGCAAACTTAGGGATAGCAGATGATTCCCACAAAAATTCAGGGGCCTGTCACCTCAGTAAAGTTTCTAGAGTTTCAGTCATCAGGAGCTTTTCAAATGATCCCTTCCAGGGTGAAAGGCAAATTGCTGTACCTGAGCCACCCACCATTTTAAAAAATGGCATAATACTTAGGTCTTTGGAATTTTTTTTTTTGAGAAAGAGTCTTGCTCTGTTGCCTAGGCTGGAATGCAGTGGCATGACAATGGCCTCCAACTCCTGAGCCCAAGTGATCCTCTCACCTCAGCCTCCTGAGTAGCTAGGACTACAGGCACATGTCACCATATCCAGCTCAGTTTTCTCTATTTTTTTTTTTTTCTGTAGAGATGGGGTCTCACTATGTTGCTAGGCTGGCCTCAAATTCCTGGCCTCAAGCTATCCTCCTATCTTGGCTCCCAAGTGCTGGGATTACAGTCATTAATCACTACACCTGGTTCTCCTTTTTTGGATTTTTTTGAGACAGGGTCTCACTCTGTTGCCCAGGCTGGAGTGTAGCAGCATGATCACAGCTCCCTGTAGCTGCCACCATCTGGGCTCAAGTGATCCTCCTACCTCAGCCTCCCAAGTAGCTGGGACTACAGACATGACCACCATCTGCAGCTAATTAAAAAGATTGTTTTTCAGCTGGGCACAGTGGCTCACACCTGTAATCCCAGCACTTTGAGAGGTCAAGGCAGGCGAATCATGAGGTCAGAAGATTGAGACCATCCTGGCCAACATGGTGAAACCCCGTCTCTACTTAAAAAAAAAATACAAAAATTAGCCAGGCTTGGTGGCGGGTGCCCATAGTCCCAGCTAATGAGGAGCCTGAGGCAAGAGAATCACTTAAGCCCAGGAGGTGGAGGTTGCAGTGAGCTGAGATCATGCCACTGTACCCTACCCTGGTGACAGAGTGAGACTCTGTCTCAAAAAAAAAAAAAAAAAAAAAAAAAAGATTTTTTTTTCTAGAAATGGGGGTCTTATTGTATTGTCCCTGCTGGTCTTAAACTCCTGGGCTCAAGCAACTCATAATCCTCATTGGCCTCTCAAAGTGCTAGAATTACAGGCCTGAACCACTACAGCCAGCCCCTTTTTGGATTTTTGAGGCAACATACACCACATTTGTGTTTGTTACTTTCACATTCATTTGAGTGATTTTGATTTAATTAGAATCACTCAAGTTTACCCATACGTTGCAGGGTGGGGAGGAAGGGTGCTAACAAACCAGAGCAAGAGTAGGCTCTGCAGCAAGTTTAGATTATAGTACAAGCCACTCTACCATTTGGGCCTTATGATCCTGCAGATCCAATGACACTTTAAGTGTCCATAGCAAATAAGGGTGCTGCACAGCACCAATAAGAGAACCACACATGGACCTTTAGAAATTGGAAGCAAATCTATCCCTTCTTTACTGATAATTATTTGCCTTTTGAGAAACAGCTTCTTGGGCCTTGGCAGAAAGTAAATGTCTCAGGCTCTTCAGCAATGAAGGTTTGGGTCACTGCATCAGATGAAGAACTCCGACCAGCTGAAGTTCTAGCCAAGGACAAGGGAAATATGGAATGAATGAATAGTGGAAGAAAGAAGCCATAGATATCAACTATAGCCTTGTAACCAGTTATGGAAACAGGACTATAAATTTTATCTTTGCTTACTATATGTATGTTTATTTCTATAGGCCAACCTTTTGTTCTTCCTCCTTCTTTCCATTGTTACTTTATGATTTAGCCTTTAGGTAACAGAACATTCCGTGAAACTGGCTGAATTTGAGTGATGGATACAGTAACTATTTGGGCCATGTCTCCCCAGTTGGGGGGAGAAGATAAATAATAAATAGCTAGCTGTCTTGTAAGAGTTCTTTTCAGGAATTCAAATGTGTATAGAAGACTGCATGTAGAAGCTGAGTAGCTACAGGGGTGGAATGTGCCATTCATCAATATATTGCCTCACAGATCCTAATCCATTGTTCTTTTCTCTGCTCTGTGAAAATGGAGCTAAGTCCTTTCCATATCTTTTCTTTTCCAGATGACACATTTTAAGCTTCATCTGTAGAAGGTGTTACTTAGTGTTTTGTGCTGTCTAACATACTGCCGTAATCCTAGTAGCTTATAACAACACATACATTTATTATCTCAGTTTCTGTGGGTCAGAAGTATAGACGCAGTTTAGCTGGGTCCTCTGTTCAGGGTCTCACAAGCCTGCAAGCAAAGTGTTAGCTGGGCTGCATTCTCATTTGTAAACATGACTGGGAAGATTGTTTTCAAGTTCATTCAGATTGTTGGCAGAATTCATTTCCTCACAACTGTACACTTGAGGGTCCCAGCTTCTTACTGGCTGTTGTTTGGATGCTAACTCCAGGTCCTAAAAGCCACCTGCAGTGCCTTGCTATGTGGCCCTTTCGGTAGGCAGTTCACAACACAGCTGTTTGCTTCTTCAGGCCCAGCAGGAGAATCTCTCCTTCCAGTCTCCTAAGACAGAGTATTATATGATGAAATGTAACCATGGGAGTGATATACCATCACTTTTGCCATATTGGTTAGAAGTTGCAAATCTCATCCACTCAAGGGGAGATTATAAAAGGGTGCAGAACATTGTGATCACCTTAAGGTATGTCTGCCACATACTAGAAAGACATTGTAAAAGGCAAGAACTTTTCTTCCTGCTTCTGGTATGCTCACTCAGCAGGCTCCTGCAGTACACAGCTCCCGAAGCATGAATAGCTTCTCCAGTGCTTGGCTCCAGCAGTGTACGGTGGTCAGCAGCATACACAGGCCAGCAACTTCTCATGGAATAGATATACCTTCTCAAATGAGGTCCTTGGCTGGCCTCTCTCAGCCATAGGGGTATGACAGATGCCCTTTATATATGATGTTCAATAATTCTTAGTTCTCTTTACTCTTAGTAGCCAAGTCCTCATTTCTCCTATTCCCTGTTATAATATTTTATATTAAACCCTCCCTGCTGAAATTACTGTGTGATTTCTGTTTATTGCTTAGTCTCTGACCGATTCATGGACCATGTTCAGTTGAGATTTGCTACCACTGACATTCTAATGAGCTGGAGATGTCTAGAAACTTTACATTTACAAACGGAAGGTCAGTCACTCACCTCTTTAATTTCTTTCAGAAGTTCAAGAGCACAACTGAAGTCAGGGGGAGTTGCTGATAGTTGCTCTTTAAGATGGTCCCAAAAGGCATTGTGCATTGTCTCCTTGACCTTGCCTTCCAGACTATATAAGTGGGTTAAATGAGCAGATTATTGTCTCAACCCCAAAACGGTTACAGTGTCACAACCTCCTAACCCCAAACTGAGTTTGCTATGGTAAAAGACCATTATAATAACAGGGAAAGGCCAGGAACTATGTTGCAACTACAGCGGAATTGAACAAGCAAGGGTTAGATTTGTATTTCAAGGGCAATGGTAAAACCTCTCAGAAGGGCTCCTTGTAAATCCAGAGCAGCCCTCCCTCTGCAGTAGGAAGAACCCTGAATGGAGATGTCATGCCGACTTTTAGCACTGACTGTGCATTTAGCCTAGATATATAACTTGATTTCCATTTGTGTATATACAAAGCATTGAGCTAAATGGTCTTTCATTTTCTTATACTCCTGAAATCTAGGAAAGGATATTCCTTCTTTGAAAACACCAAATGTCCACAGATATGTCAAATCAGCATGTCTAAAACTAAATTCATTATCTTTCTCTTCCAAACTTACTCCTCTTGTATTCCCAATTTCAGTGGCACTACCATCTGTCTAATAATGGAAGCCAGAAAGATCAGTCTTTCTTTTCCACCTTGAAAAAAAAACAAGGAGCAAAGGAAATTTGTTTTATTTTATCTTTTGAGACAAGGTCTCACTCTGTTGTTCAGGTTGGAATGCAATGGCACAATCAAGGCTCACTGCAACCTTAACCTCCCAGGTGCAAGCAAACCTCTTGCCTCTGCCTCCAGAGTAGCTGGGACCACAGACATGAGCCACCATTCCAGCTATTTTTTTAAAAAATTTTTAGTAGAGATGGGGTCTTGCTATGTTGCTCAGGCTGGTCTTGGACTCCAGGGCTCAGCAATCTACTTCCCTCTGCCTTCCAAAGTGCTGAGATTACAGTTGTGAGCCACTGCACCTAGCCAAGGCAATTCAATTTAGAAATAAGAGCTTTTCAACAAATCATATTGAAACAACTAGATATCTACATTAAAAAAAAAAAAACCTAAACGCAGGCCTTAACCCTTCACAAAAGGTTAACTCAAAATGGATCACAGAACTACTTGTAAAATATGAAACTGTAAAACTTGTAGAAGATAACATAGGAGGAAATCTACGTAACTGTGACCCTGAGTTTGATGATTACCTTTTAGATACAATGCCAAAAAACATAATCCACAAAAGAAAAAATTGCTAAGTTGGAGTCATTAAAATTAAAAACTTCTGCTCTGTGAAAGACACTGTTAAGAGAACAAAAAAAAAAAAGCCACAAACTAGAAAACAATCTTTGAAATACATATCTGATAAGGTTATGTATCCAAAACATACAAAAAACTCTTAAAATTTGACAATCAGAAAATGAACAATCCATTAAAAAATAGGCCAAAGACCCTAACAGACATCTCACCAAAGAGGATGTACAGGCGGCAAATAAGTGTATGAGAAGACACTCAATGTAATTTGTCATTTGGGAGTTGCAAATTAAGACAACAAAAAGAAAAAAGACACCACTATATGACACCTATTAGAATGGTCAAAATCAGAAAACTTACAACACTAATTGCTGACAAGGATGTTGAGAAATAGGAACTCACATTCACTGCTGGTCAGATGTAAATGGTACCGTCAGTTAAAAGCAGCTGGGCAGTTTCTTACAAAACTGAATATACTCTTACATATGATCTGGCTATCATGCTTCTGGGTAAATACCAAAATGAGTTGAAAGCTTATGTTCACACAAAAACCTGCACACAAACGTTTATAGCAGCTTTATTTGTAAGAGCCAAAACCTAGAAGCAACAAAAATGTCCTTCAACTGATTAATAAACTGTCCATAAAATGGAATATTATTCAATGATAAAAAAGAAATGATTTGGGAGGCTGAGGCAGGTGGATCACTTGAGGTCAGGAGTTCAAGATCACCTGGCCAACATGGTAAAACCCCATCCCTACTAAAAACACAAAAATTAACCAAGTGTGGTGATGCATGCCGGAAATCCTAGCTACTCAGGAGGCTGAGGCAAGAGAATTGCTGGAACCCAGTAGCTGGAGGTTGCAGAGAGCCAAGATTGCGCCACTGCACTTTAGTCTGGGTGACAGAACGAGACTCCGTTTCAAAAGAAAAAGAAGTCTGGGGGCGGTGGCTCATGCCTGTAATTCCAGTACTTTGGGAGGCCAAGGCAGGCGGATCACCTGAGTCCAGGAGTTCGAGACCAGCCTGGCCAACATGGCAAAACCCCAACTCTACTAAAAATACAAAAATTAGTGGTGGCATGTGGCTGCAATCCCAGTTACTCAGGAGGCTGAGTCAGGAGAATTACTTGAAACCAAGAGGCAGAGGTTGCAGTGAGCTGAGATCATGCCATTGCACTCCAACCTGGGTGACAGAATGAGACTCCATCTCAAAAAAAAAAAAAAAAAAGAAAGAAAGAAAAGAAAAGAAAAAAGTGAGCCATCCAGCCACAAAAAAACATAAAGGAAACTTAAATGAAATTACTAAGTGAAACAACTGATTGGAACAGGGTTCATATTATATGATTCCAACAATATGACTTTCTGGAAAAGGCCTCCTGAGCAGCTGGGTTTACAGGTACACACCACCACACCTGGCTCATTTAAAAAAATTTTTTGGTAGGCCAGGTGAGGTGGCTCACACCTTTAATCCCAGCACTTTGGTGGGTGAATCATGAGTTAAGAGATCGAGACCAATCTGGCCAACATGGTGAAACTCTATCTCTACTAAAAAATACAAAAAATTAGCTGGGTGTGAAGGTGCATGCCTATAGTCCCAGCTGCTCGGTAGGCTGAGGCAGGAGACTCACTTGCACCCAAGGCAGAGGTTGCAGTGAGCCCAGATTGCACTACTGCATTCCAGCCTGGTGACAGAATGAGACTTTGTCTCAAAAAAGAAAAAAAAAATTTTTTTTGGTAGAGACAGGGTTTTGCCATGTTGGCGAGGCTGGACTCGAACTCCTGGCTTCAAGTGAAAGTGATCCACCCACCTCGGCCTCCCAAAGTACTGGGATTACAGAGATGAACCACCGTCCCTGGCCCCCTCCCACCATCATCTCTTACAATTAACTAGTCTCCCTGCCTCTAGTCTTGTTCCTTTATAATCTGTTTTCCACACTGCCACCAATTCATTCTAAAAGCGAGGCTTTTTCTAAGATGCCACTTTGATCATGACATTTCATTTAAAGTCTTTTGGGGGCTCCCCCATCACCAGCAAGATAAATGGCTTATGTTACCTTATACCATACTGCTCTGCCCTCTCTTTACAATGTATTTTCTTCTGCCTTATAACACCTTGTGCTCAGCCACAGCAAACTGCTTGTAAAGAACGTATCATGTTCTACTATCATTCTCTGTCTCTGACATGTTGTCTCCACTACGTGCTGCAACCCTTCACACCAAGACCACCTGGAAAGCACTTATTCAACATCCAAGACTCAAGTCTTCATAGGCCGAATCTTCCTCCATAGGCAAATCTTCCCTAATCCTCCATAGGTAGCTGAACAGCTACTATTAAACTCTATATATGCACAGCTACAAGCAAACTTATCAGTCTAATCAATTATTTTCTATTATTCAACTGTCTTCCCTACAAAAGCTTCTTGACAGCAAAAACAATGCCTTATCTGTATCTAACCCTAGCACCCAGCATTTTGGCTGTGATATAGTAAGGACTCAATAAATGCCTGGTAAATGAATATCTGATAATGGAATTTCCCTTAGGAACCTACAATTGTAATTAACATCATCCTATGAACCTAAGGTAAAGACAACTGCCAATATGAGTCACCTCAAACGATTTCAGCCTTTTTCCAAACGTAATTTTTTATATCACCATACTTGGAAACCCAGCTCTGAACAGTACTATTTCTCTCACTTCATTTTTTCCTCTCTCGTTTCTTCTGCTTGCCATACCCCTCTATCCCCCATGCACCTGCAACTCACTCACCACCACCCTATCACAGACCTTATTCTCCCAGTTTCAGTTTTCTCTCCTCCCCTGTCAGCAACAAACATGTCTAAACAGTGAGAGAGCAGCTGGGAGGCCCGAGTTTGGTGAAAACCTGTTCTCAAAGTTATGCCTAGCATGGAAACTTGCTGACACCAGGCAAGAACAGATCAAAGGAGCATGAAGACCAGAGGAGCAACATGTGATGGAGAAAGGCCCTTTAGTAACAGATGCCCCGCAGTGGCCTTCTGACAAAAGCATTTAAGGAATGCAAATGAATCACAAGTTGTCATTATTTGTCTCTTGGTGGGAAATTAGAACAAATTTATTTTTAATTTTTTTTTCTTTTTTCAGCCTCATTTGTGATAGAATATTTAAAAAAAATTTTTTAGAGACAAGAGTCTTGCTCTGTTGCCTGGCCTGCGGTGCAGTAGCTTACTGCAGCCTTGACCTCCCTGGCTCATGTGATCTTCCCACCCCAGTCTCCTCAGTAACTAGGACTGTAGCCATGCACCATCACATTTGGCTAATTAATTTTTTTTTTTTTTTTTTGTAGAGACAAGGTTTCACTATGTTGCCCAGGCTAGTCTTGAACCCTTGACCTCAAGCAATCCTCCCATCTCAGCCTCCCAAAATGCTGGGATTACAGGCAATAGCCACTGTGCCTGACCGAGAATTGTTTAAAAATATAAAATCTGACACTGAAATTTACCCACTTAATTGTCAATGAACCAGCAGGGTCAATTCAATTCATACTTACTGCATGGTTCTTCTTTACCACAATGTCACTATAAGAATAATAAAAACAAAGCCTGGTGTGGGTGAGAAAGCATTCTTTATCAACAGAGTTCAGATTTTGATAAATAAATTAAGCTGAATTATGAACCTGGGGGGAAAAAAATCCCAACAGTCAAAACACCACTAACAGAAAAGCTTTATCTGTGCCTATTTAGTATGAAGCCACTTAAAAGGATAGCTGATAGGAGCTATATGGTAGGCAGCTGACAAGATGGCCCCAAAGATCTCTGCTTCCTGATATAGTCATCCTATGATATCCAAGAGGGATTGGTTCCAGGATCCCCCTCAGAAATCTATGAATGCTCAAGTCCCTGATATAAAATGGCATAGTATTACATATAACCTACACATATCCACCTATAAACTTTAAATTACCTCTAGATTACTTAAATATCTAATTCAATGTAAATGCTATGTAAATAATTATATTATACTGCTTTTTAAATGTGTATTATTTTTATTGTGTTATTTTTAATTTTAGTTTTCTAATATTGTCTATCTGCAGTTGGTTGAATCCCTGGATGCAGAGCTCATGGATATAAGAGCCAACTGTATTCACATCTTTGTGGAAACCTTTCCTTGAGTGTAGGCAGAGTCTGACTCATTTATAGCAAATAGAATGTAGCAGAAGCAATGGGGTATCACTTCTGACATTAGGTAACAAAAAGACTGGTTTCTGTCATGGGTACCATCTCTCACACACACCTTGTTCTCTCCCTTGGAGGAAAGCCAGCTGCCATGTTTAAAGCTGCCCTATAGAAAAGTCCACGTGGCAAGAAACAGGGAGCCTCTGACCAAGAGTCATCAGACTGATTACAACCCATAAGAGACTCTAAGCCCGAGGCATACAGTTAAACCATGCCCATATCTCTCATCCATAAAAACTGACATAATGAATATTATTTTTTGGGCACAGTGGCTCATGCTTGTAATGAGCACTTTGGGAGGCTGAGGTAGGAGGACTGCTTGAGCCCAGGAGTTCGAGACAAGCCTGGCCAACACTGTGAGACCCCATCTCTAAAAATTAAAATTAAAATTAAAAAGTGAGGTAGGAAGATCACTTGAGCCCAGGAGGTGGAGCCTGCAGTGAGCCATGACCATGCCACCGCCTACCTGCCTAGGTAACAGAGCGGGACCCTGCCTCAAAACAAACAAACAAACAAAAACCAAAAAACCCACCCCAAATGAAAAAATGAAATGTTATTTTAAGCTGCTAAATTTGGGGGCAATTTGTTATGCAGCAACAGGTAAGTACTACAGGCTGCTTCCTTCAAGTTTGTCAGAGAAGATCTGAAATCCACACTACTTAATCCAACAAATGCTGCTTTAGTTTATTTGCTGACTAAATAACGTTTGCTTCTTGATCTTCTTTGGTACTAACAATTTATTACTCCTCTGTTTAAGTTGTTGAGACCTCTCAGTTTAAATACTGATTGTATTATTAAATAAAAATGCTTCAAGTCTGATCTGAAGCCATTAGAGCTAAGTACCTATGCCCCAATGAGTAACATTGAGAAAGAAGAAGAGTCTATACCTGCTTGGAAGTAAAACCTTCTCTTCCATGTAATCGTGATTCATCCCAATCTCGTTACTCAGCTTGGAAACTTCATTAACAGTTTCTGTCAGACCTGTGACAGAAAGAACTGATGGTGGACAACAATGAACCCATGCAAGTCTGAATTTCTATTCACTCAGTCTAGTAGGCCTCAAATTTAGATTCATCAAACTGGTCTTACACAGACTCATCCAACTATTCTAGTGATTTATGTTTCCTGCACTCTATGCCCCACAACAGTGCTAGAAACTTTCAGAATAAGTAGTCCAATATTGGGGGAAGGTAGGACAGAGAGCTAGTTTATAAAAAGCAGGAAGTGAAACAGATGAAAAACTTTTCTCTTAAAGAGTAAAATCATATTTATAGCAGCAAAGAAACAATAATTTGAAATTTGCAAAAATAAACATTTCTCTAAGTATTAAGATTCCACGTTCCTTTTCCTGTCTCTGATGCTACACATGATGAAAGCTAAATTCTCCCTAGAGATAATACTCAGATGTTACTGAATAGTGTCAAAGTCATTCGGTCTTCTAAAGCAGTCGCTCCCAGATTTTAGGATTTCATAGACTAATAAAATTTCCAAAAAGATTTTAAGCAATTGAAAACAACTTTGCCAACTTTTTATTTTGCCTACTACGGACAGTGAAACAAGCAAATAAAAATCCATCTACCACCACCAAAATCATCATCTCATCAAAGAAAAGATAGTTTAACCTCCAAAAAGAACCAGAAAGGAAATATTGTCAAAATAAAGAGCAGTCCTTTAAATTGAATTAATTTAGCTTTAGGAAAACTCATTACAATACCTTTATGATTTCACTTCACTAAATATTGCTAAGAATTTTGTCATAGACTAGCACAGGCATTTGGCAACCACTGCTAAGTTTTTAGTACAGACCTATAGTACAGCTGATAGCATTCACACACAACAGGTATGTACAATAGTTACAATGATTACTTGGTGTATAAAATGAAGTTGTATACAATCAATAATATTTTATCATATTTTATCACTCTCTTTTGATGAAGCATCATGATTTTTCACAGAAAATTATTTGGCTCCAAGATGTGGAGGAGATATAGATGAACAGAGATTGGCCATGAGTTGATCACTGTTGAAGCTAGATGATGGATAAATGGGGGCTCACTCTATTTCATGCATGTAATTTTTCTATAGTAAAAATATTTGAAACGTAAAAGGAAAAATAAGGTTACTGTAGAAAAGTTACATAAGAGAAAGCCCCTGCTCTTAGATACATGATGAAATATTTAGAGGTAAAGTCATGACTTTGTATCTCACCACAGTTCAAATGGCTTTCATCCAAAACGCAGGCAATAGCAAATGCTGGTGAGGATGCGGAGGAAAGGGAACCCTTGTACACTGTTGGACGGAATGTAAATTAGTACAACTCCTATGGAGAACAGTCTGGAGGTTCCTCAAAAAAACTAAAAATAGAGCTACCATATCATCCAAAAATCCCACTTCTGGGTATATACCCAAAAGAAAGGAAATTAATCTATCAAAGAGGTATCTGCACTCCCATATTTAAGCACTATTCAAGCAACCTGTGTCCATCAACAAACAAATGGTAGCTATACACAATGGAGTACTTTTCAGCCAAAACAAAATGAAAAAACAACACGGGATCTTGTTATCTGCAACTACGTGGATGGAACCAGAGGTCATTATGTTAAGTGAATTAAGTCAGGCACAGAAAGACAAACTTCACATGTTCTCACTTACTTGTGGGAGCTAAAAATTAAAACAGTTAAACTCAAGTAGATAGAGAATAGAATGATGAATAACCAGAGGCTGGGAAGGGTAGTTGGGTAGGATGTTGAGGGGCTGCGGGAAGCATGGATGGTTAATGGGTACAAAAAAATAGAATAAGATCTAGTATTTGATAGAACAACAGAATGACTATAGTCAACAATAATTTAGCTGCACATTTTTAAATGACTAAAAGAATATAGTTGGATTGTTTGTAACACAAAGGATAAATGCTTAAGATAATGGATACTGCATTTACCCTGATGTAATTATTACACATCATATGCCTGTATCAAAATACCCCATATACCTGATAAATATATATACCCACTATGAACCCACAAAAAATAAAAATTAAAAGAAGTCCATCGAGTTTGAGACCAGCCTGGCCTCGACCCCACCCCCTACTAAAAATACAAAAATTAGCCAGGTGTACCCAGCTACTCAGGAGGCTGAGGCAGGAGAATCACTTGAACCCAGGAGGTGAAGGTTTCAGTGAGCTGAAAACACATTGCACTCCAGCCTGGGCGAGAGAGTGAGACTCCATCTCAAAAAACAACAGACAGACAAAAATCAACCACCACCACAACAAGTAATGACGTTGTAATTTTAAATGGGGGAGAGAGATACACACACAGGGAGACAGAAAAAGCAATATGGCAGAATATTACAATGTGGGCATTCACTGTATTTTTTTCTTTTTTACTTTTCAGCAGATTTAGAATATTTCAAAATAAAAAGTTAAGGGGATTGCAGACCTTTGCCAAAAACCCACTGAGTCCCTTGCTTAGGGCAACATAAAGGCGAACTGGACCTTAAGTGGATGCTTGAAGTTCCCTTTATTTCCGCACCCTCTTTGAAGTCTTTAGTTCCAGCCAAAATGGCAAACACAATCAAATATGGAAACAGACTCACTGCTAATTCACTAATGCTAAATGAGAGCTAAGAGAAAATCTTCAGAAGGGGATTGAGCTACAGCAGCTTATTGAGGGATGGAAGGAAATACACACAGAAACACTTTCCAACTGCAACAACTCAAAGTTCACAGCCTGCCTCGATAAGACAGTTCTGTTGCTCAAAAGTAACACAGCACTAAGCAACTCCAACACAGCTCTAAAATTCAGGAATGAGGAGAGCTCAAAATGAAATGAGAGATAAAATTTAACTGAAATAGATTTTTAAAACCCAGATCCCAAAGACAAAGACATTTTCAAGGAAAGTAACCCAAGTCAACCTAATATACAAAATTTCAAATTCTTTAAAAAAGGAAATTTGATTATTCATTTTACTGAGAGTTGTTTTGTATAAGGATTCACTTAAATAGACACCTCAAAAACTTAAATCGTATTTACAAAAAAATGGACTTTTCATCCTTCATCAAGGTTCACAGCCGTTGAAAATGCCCCCAATACGCCGCTTTGGTGCCATTCTGTTAACCAGCAGCGACCCCCTGTGGCCACAAGAGAAACGAATCTAATTCAGCCGCAGAGTTTCAAACTAATTTTTCGCATTTCAATAGTCAAGAATTTTAGCTCAAGTTGTTGCATGTGGACAGCTCTTCAGTTTGATTACTAGTTACGTTATCTGGAAATTAAGAGAAATAAAGCATGAGTCCCAGTGAGACCGTACCTAACACGAAGCGTGGAGGAGACCTTGTGCCCCAACAGGACCACAAAAGAACATGTACTACAGAACTGACAGCTGGAGACTCAGCCCAGGACACTCCCTACTTCTTGAGTCAGCAGAACGCTGAGAAAACCCAATTCCCGTCTGGGATCGTTCGTGTTCTTTAAAATCAACCCCAGATCTGCCATTTCCCCCTACGTATTCAACATACAATACAAAGGAGGGCTTTGAACCAACTCAGTCTCAAATCTCGTCAGATTCAAGCAATCCACTCTTGGGTCACTTCTTTCTCCAGGACCAAAAACTCTTTGAGGACCTCTTGTCAACAGGGGGCCTCGGGCCTATAAGTAAAGGCGGGTGGGGGAAAAAAGAACAAACAAGAGCTGGACGGTGAAAGAAAATTTGGGAATGGGGGGGTCTGCGGACCCCCTCCCCACTAAGCAGCCCCGAAAGGGCCAAACGGACCGCCGACCTGGACCTACAGGGACGGGGGTCCTTGGGGCCGCTCTTGTCTTCCTGGGGGAGTCCTGAGGTTTCCGGCTTACAGGACCCGCCCTCTGAGTCACCAGGGTCCTTCGGGGGCACACTCTCCTCGACGTCCGGCATTTTCCTGATGGTATCTGGGTGAGGGAGAAAGGCGCGTTCTTGGCGTCTGGGAAGGGGCTGGGGGTCCCTGGGGCCCCACCTGGGGGCGGCGGAAAGGGGGGTAGCGGCCTCAGGGTCTTGGGGGTGCTGAAGGGCAAACAGGGGCAAAGGAGCCTGGAGGAGCGGGAGTCGGGAATGCGAGAGAAATGGAGCCCTGGGCCGCAACGAGGAAACTAAGGCCACAGAAGCCCCGCGCAGGGCGGGCCGCGTGGGAAGGCCCCTTCCTCCACGGGGAGGCGGGCTCCTCGCCAGAAACGCCGCCGGCCTCCGGGTCCCAGCCGTTCACCTCACCACCTCCTCCCCCGCTGCGGGGCGCCCACTGGCGCCGGCTCGGGCGGCCTAGTGCCTGGCGCCCTGGACCGTACCACCGCGGCGGGACGGCGGGGAGGCACGCTGTGGGAGAGGCCGGGGTCTGAGAACAAACCGCCGCGGTCGCCGGGGCAACGGGGCGGCGCACGTGCCGCCCGCCAGGGCCGGAAGCGGCAGGCTCGAGCGTCCATCCTGAGCTCCAAGCCAACCAGGCCTCGAGCTGGTCGCTCGGGCCGGCCCCTGCCGGTCAGCTCCCGCCCCTCAAAAACGATGGCGTGGAACTGCTGAGACTAGGTCAGAGTATGCTCGGGGCTTTTCTCTAGCCTGTTCGGACAGAGGAGAAGCGGAGCCACACCCAGGAGATTGTTTCCACAGCGTGTCCTCTGCCACCGCAGCAGGGGCGCAGGGGCCAAGCGCTCTTCCGTCACATGTGGGAGCACCGGAGGAGCTGTCCGGGCTGGGGCCAGGTTCTGCCCACCGTGGTTCCCGCCCATGGCCGCCCTCCGGCTCCTGGGCTCCAGCCCTCACCTTTCTTGACTCTGAGTCTCCTCGGTTGCCCTTGCAGTGATGTGAAGACATGGTGCCCCCGCCTGAGAAAATGGAAAGGAAGCATTTCCACTTCACCTGCTCCTGTCCTTCTTTATTACTCTGTCTCTACTTTTTACCGTAAAAGTACAGTAACAAAACAAAAGATGAAAGTATTACGGTAAGAAGCCGAGTGTGGTGGCTGATACCTGTAATACCAGCACTTTGGGAGGCGGAGGCGGACGGTTCACCTGAGGTCGGGAGTTCAAGACCAGCTTGACCAACATAGTGAAAACCCATCTCTACTAAAAATACAAAAATTATCTGGGCGTGGTGGCAGGCCCTATAATCCTGGCTACATGGGATGCTGAGGCAGAAGAATCGCTTGAACCCGGGAGACGGAGGTTACAGTGAGCCGAGATCGCACCACTGCACTCCAACCTGGGTGAATAAGGGAGACTCTGTCTCTCTCACACACACAAAAGATACTACCATAAGAAACTCTGCCTTGACTGAGTTCTCCTTAACTTTGCCTTGGCCAGGCGTGGTGGCTCATGCCTGTAATCCCAGCACTTTGGGAGCCTAAGGCAGATGGATCACCTGAGGTCACAGAGTTCAAGACTAGCCTGGCCAACATGATGAAACTCCCTCTCTACTAAAACAAAAAAAAGTCAGCTGGGTGTGGTGGTGGGGGGCACCTGTAATCCCAGTTATTCGTGAGGCTGAGACAGGAGAATCGCTTGAATCTAGGCGGGTGGAGGTTGCAATGAGCCAAGATCGTGCCACTGCACTCCAGCCTGAGCGACAGAGCAAGACTTTGTCTCAAAACAAAATAAAAAAAACCAAAACCTTTGCCTTGTTAGTGTGGAGTGTGGATGTGTGGATATTTCTTGCACAACTCATGGGTTTGGGAGAGGAAAATTATAAAGAGGCCCAAGAAGATTTGTGCGTTAAAAAAGCCCATTCCACTTTGAGGCCCAGGCATATAGGAGGAGAGTGGCCTAGCCAAGTTACTGCTTATCCAGAGTATCTCAGACTCATCCATACCAAACCTGCCCCTTCCTCCTCCTCAACCTCTCCTGCTGTTTGCCTCAGGGATGCCAACTGTGAAGCTGCCAGCCTTCACCCTAAACCCACCAGAAGTGAGAGGAAGTTGCATGGTGACTTCAGCAAAGAGTTCAATGAAATATGATGCTTCCTTATTAACACGGAGATATTTAGGCTGGGCGATTGATTTCTCTTTAAAAATACAAATCGGGAATTCCATTTGGCATTTTTATTTCTGGGAGAAAGTTTCCAGAATGACACCAGTTCATTTCCCCCACAAAAAATGGCATTGCTGTAAAACTCCCTACTGATGTCTGAAATTCCTCTAACAATTCTTTCATATACATTAAATTTTCTCTTTAAGTGTTCTCTTAATATCCAAATTCTCTGGGAGGGTCAGTGGGAAGAAATAGCAGTCCAGGAGCAAATGGTAGTGGGAGTAGGGGACCAAAGCCAGAAGAGGAGGGAAAGGAGGTAGCAGAGAAAGACAAATTAGTTTTCCTAGGGTCAGCCCAGGTACAGCATTTCATGATCTTTATCGTCAATAGTCATCAGAACCAACCAGGAAAAAGTTAGAGGTTGAGGGGAGTAGAAAGAGGATGTGAGAGATAAGCACGTCTTCTCTTTGGGGTCTTAGTTAATAACTGATTTTTGTGTAATGATTTACAGAATGCTTTTACATCGCAGATCTGTATGCTCTGCACACAAGCCTATTCAGTAGCAAGGCAGGTGTTATATTGGACCGTTTGAAAGGTGAACAAGCTGGGGATCAGAGAGTAACCAAAAGTCACACAGTAAGAAAGGTCTTGACTCTTGATCAGATACATTTTCTTAATTCACACCACCTCCTTGACTCTGGCTGAGAATCCATGTGTACACAAGAAAATATGACATGGTAAGTATCAGGGCCAAGGATATAAACAAGAAGTGCTACCTGAGGACTTTGAACAGGTGAGAGATCTTGCTGGTGTTTGGGTCAGTTCAAGCCTAGCTTTTAGCCAGGGTCCTCAGTAAGATTCTCTAACTTGGCGGGGCATGGTGGCTCATGCCTGTAATCCTAGCACTTTGGGAGGCTGAGGCGGGCAGATCACCTGAGGTCAGGAGTTCAAGACCAGCCTGGCCAACATGGTGAAACCCTGTCTCTACTAAAATACAAAAATTAGCTGGCCATGATGGCAGGTGGCTGTAATCCCAGCTATTTGGGAGGCTGAGACCAGAGGGAGGCTTGAACCCGAGAGATAGTTGTTGCAGTAAGCCGAGATGGCACCACTGCACTCCAGCCTGAGCAGCTGAGTGAGACGCTATCTCAAAAAAAAAAAAAAAAAAAAAAAAAACAGTCTCTTGGAAGTGAAGATGGAAGGTGGGTGGGAATCACTTGAGGCCAGGAGTTTGAGACCAGCCTCAGCAACACAGCAAGACCCCATTTAAAAAAAAAAAAAAAAAAAAGATTCTTTAACTCATTTGGTCTTTCTTTGGCTTATGTTAGGTCTGGTTCTCCCTCAATCTCAGGACCCTCTTTAAACTCTTGTAATGGGTGAAACTGAAGTTTCTACATATGTCCATTATTTCACAGGAATGCCCTTCCTGGATAACTTAACACTGTTACCCTATTAAAGTGCACATACCTCAAATGACCCATTAGGCAGGTATTTCTAAGCAACCCAAGAACAGAAGTAAAAGCCCTGTTTCTTCTTACACTGAAGTATACCCAAAGCTGTCCAGCCCAGGGTTCCCTTTTTATACCAAGATTTTGTATGACTTTCTCTTCTATTCATAATATATCAATTTGATACTAAAGTCTATTTCCCTACCTCAAATCATTTTTTTTTTTTTGGATGGGGCTCACTTTGTTCCCCAGGCTGGAGTGCAATGGTGCGATCTTGGCTCGCTGCAGCCTCAACTTCCTGGGTTCAAGCAATCCTCCTGCCTCGGTCCCCAAGTAGGTGGGACTACAGGTATGTGCCACCACAATCAGTTAATTTTTGCATTTTTTGTTGAAACGGGGTTTCACCATGTTGCCCAGGCTGGTCTCAAACTCCTGAGCTCAAACAATCTGCCCACCTTGACCTCTCAAAGTGCTGGGATTATAGGCATGAACCACTGTGCCTGACCCCTCCCTCAAATCTTTGGATAGAATTCTTGTTCCAGAAGGAAGGTCTTCCTGTGCTTGTTGGCACACCTCTGTATATCCCTATGGGTGCCTACAACCTAGTTTGAGAAACAGTTTATGGTAATTTCAGGCCTGCAACTAGAATCTTCCTATTCCTCAACCACGTTCTCACATATGAGAGCTTTAACTCAAGCCCAGTAGTGCGATCTGTTCTCATTTGTTAAATGCTATTTTGTGTACACTATTCCACAAAAGCACATTATGTAGAAAGTCAGTCCTACCCACAAAGACATTCTGAAAGAGGGGCGTATAAAGACAAAGATACAAGCGAAATACTTGGAGGTGGCTGGAAGAGGTACAGAATCACAGAATTTAAGAGGAATTCTGGATACAAATCTGCTAGCTAACACAAAACAAAAATGAAAAACCCCTCACTTTACAAAGAAACATTTTAGGCTCAGTGAGGTTAAATGACTGGGCTAAGGTCACCACCAGTTTATGGAAAATTCAGGACTAGAACCCATATCACAGTCTGTTTACTCTGTGATGTATAGAGGTATGCAAGAGTAAAAGCTAATACTGTAAATAAATATTTACATTTCCTAAAGAAAAATGTAAATGATAGGGTATGGAATGGAGAAAGTAAGGGATGCAGTTAAATCAAGGCCAAGATCCAAGTACAGTCGAGTATACTGGAAGATAAACAGTCAACTAAAGTGGTAGGGACACGTAAATACAGGGTGGGATATTTAAATGGAACCATTTGGAGTCATGTAAACTGGGACTGACTTCATTATAGCCTCCCTATGGCACAGAACCGCACGTCAAAACTATTTGCTTTAGTCTTTTGACAAATGTGTTTTCTCCCAAGAGTAAGAGAAGGGCTCAAGGAATCTGCGGGCAGTCTGGAGGTGGTCCTTTGAAGCTCAATGTGAAGTATGATGGATGGGGAAACCATTACAAATCTTTAAGGGAGGAGGCTCAAAGCAGAAGACAAGATTCTGGGAGCAATGTTTACTGCCCCCTTTTCTAGCCACATCTCACACCGTCAGCAACACCTCACAGGCTCTGCTCTTCCGACCTCAGGGTCTTTGCACATGCTTTGCACCTAGCATGCTTCTCCCTGCTCTAAAAGCCCCTTTCCCCTCCCCGACTCTCATCCTTCAGAACTAGCTTACAAGGCCTAACTTCCTCAGAGGACCTTCCATGGCCCTCCATTAGCTTCTCTCAACACTGCACGTTTTCTCCACAGCACTCATCACATTTTGTAATCACCTGTTTGTTGGCATACTTAATCTTTATTGAAATGTGACTCTCCCATGAGACTGTAAGCTTTCTGGGAGCAGTGACTGTGTGCATTTTATTCACTGCTTGTTGTCTGGGACATAGTAGGTGTCCAATCAATAATTATGGAATTATTGGGAGACTGCATTTTAGGGGAGTGACAGAGAATG